ATGGGAATCCCAGAACGTGATTGTGTTAATGTGAAATCTATACTTGGATCAAGAGGCTGTCATCAGAACAGAGCAAGGAAACACTGCGTGGTTCAAAATTGGGAAGTGTGTACGCCAGGGATGTGTCCTATACATACCTTTTCAACCTATATGCACAATAGATTATCTGGGAGGCTGGGCTCTATGAGGAGAAATGTGGCATCAGGATTGGTGGAAGATCCATCAGCAATTTGCGTTATGCAGAAGACACAACCCTGCTTGCTGAAACTGAGGAGGACCTGAAGTGCTTGCTTCAGAGGGGCAAGGATTCCAGCCTTCAATATGGATTAAGGCTCAATATCAAGAAGACAAAGATTCTCACCACTGGTCCAATTGGCAGCATCAGTATGGATGGTGAAGAGATTGAGATTGTTAACAACTTTAATTTGCTTGGTTCCACCGTCAACACTCTTGGTACCAGCAGCCAGGAAATTAAAAGACTTATTGCGATGGGAGAGTCTACTGTTAGAGACTTCTCCAGGGTACTGAAGAGAAATGGTGTCACTCTGGAGACTAAGGTGCACCTGGTACAGGCCATGGTCTTTGCAATCACTTGCCATGCATTAGAAACATGGACAATGACCAAGGAGGATAGGAGAGTTGATGCCTTTGAGCTGTGGTGTTGGAGAAGAGTACTGAATGTACCACAGACTGCTAAGAAAATGAACATATTTGTCCTTGACAGGTTTAAAGGAGGCTGCTCCTTGGAGGTAAGGATTCTGAAGCTTTGTCTAACATACTGTGGACATGTTGCAAGGAGGGACCGATCCTTGGAGAGGGATGTCATGCTTGGGAGAATGGAGGGACAGTGCAGGAGAGGAAGACCCTCTATAAGGTGGATTGATTCAGTGACTGGGGTGGGTGTGTCGGAGACAGTGAGAATGGCACAGGACAGAGTAGGGTTTAGGGCTGTTATACATAGGGTCGCTATGAGTTGCAAGCATCTCGACGGCACATAACAACAACAAAGGCCGCTTACTATTCCTTCACTGCGAACTAGGCAGATACCAACTTTGATTCTTCATGGCCTATAGCTAGCTGAAGCCTTCCTATCATGCAGTTATGGGAAATCAGAGCTTGATCAGAGCATTAACAGAAGTGTCAGTCACTTCTGGAAATCCCAGCAAAATTTTAGCAACTACCACAGACCTTTAGAAGGGACTTAGTGATTCATCCAGCTTTCATCCTTTTCCTTTTTAAACAGAAATTCCTTAACAGAAAGCACTTTTTTAAGTCTGTGTAAAGGCTTAGATCTGTTCAGGGTTTAGATCTGTTGCTCATAGGGTTGCTATGAGTCATACTCGACTTGATGGCATCTTAAAATGACAACATGTGTAAAATCGAACTCTACATATTACTAATTGACCTATATTTTTTAATATATTTTATATTACAAGTTAGCTTGATTGGAGCAGCTAAAAGAATGATATTTTATTATACACTAATTTGATTTTTATTAGAATTTTTGAAACAAGAGAATTTAATAGAGAAGAAACAGAACGATCCAACTGGCAAATTATAGATGTCATAATTATCTCAATGTAACTCACACAGCTTATTAGAGGGACTACCTGCATCACACAAATATCGTTCTTATTTTCACTATTCTTCCAAAGATTCTGCTGATCTGGAAGCATCTTATGTGGATTAGAGCCTCCACCAGATAAACGGCCCTGTTTCATTTTACTCACTCTTCCCATTGTGTTGTCCATTTTATACATTCAGAAATGTCTCCACTTTTCATTCTAAGGAGGGCCAACAGCATTTTAGTCATGGATGCTTTTGAAAAAGAATAACACCAATCTCTCCCCTTTTGATATTTTTATCAGGTTTGTAAAATCTTTTTTATTGCTAAGGTTCAATGGTTTTCCATTTTTCCAATCTGAAAAGAGGCAATGCTGTTCCTAAAATAAAGAGTTCTCCTGATGGCCTAGTGAGTAAGGAATTGTATTGCTAATCCAAAGGCTGCCAAGTGTGAATCCACCAGCTGCTCCACAGGAGAAAGAAGGACGATTTCATTCACAGCCTCTGAAAACCTGCTAGAGGGGCCAGCTAGATGTTGGTTTTGACTTGATGGCAATGAATATGCACAATGCATTAAGTATTTATCTGCTAATGGAGAGGTTGATGGTTCAAATCTGTTAGTCACTCTTTGGGAGAAAGAAGCAGTAGTCTCCTTCTGAAAAGATTTACAGCCCTGGGAACCTGATGGAGCATTAACCTGAACTGTAATCAGCTCAACAGCACTGGATTCCAAGCACTGTTCTCTCTGTCTTTTAATACATGAAATTCTAGTCCTGGCTGCTGGGTAGGAAACACATTTTCTCCTTTCTTATGCAAGAGGATCGCTCTTCTGCAGAAACAGAGTCATTATTTCATTTTTGTAGGAAATTTCTTCTTTGAGGTCAGGAAGTCTCATCAGCTTCTTACAGTACCCCTAGGAAGTGTGCAGTACATTTCCTGTACCCCCTCCTCCTGACCAAGCCCAGGCACCTGCTCTGTGGTGATTCTCCTTTGGCTTAAACATTCCCCACAGGGGGCCTAGAAAGCCACTAAGTATAGATCATATGACACAATCATAAATATCACTGAGATAAGAAGTATTGAGATTAAGCAGTATGAAAAACTGACTAGATTCATCAGCTATGTAATTTCTTGCTTTGGTATTTATTAATGGAAAAAAAATTACAATCAGTATTTTCAAGGGCTTTTTCCTTGTTGGTAGGAGGACATGCACAAGTTACATTTACTCTAAGCCAATGATTACAGGCTGTCTGCAAAATGCATGTCTTATAGCTTTTAATTCAGTGCGTTCAGATAAAAGGAAATATTCATTCGTAGTCAATTAATATAGAATCTTTAAAAATCAATACTTTAAAATCTAGACATTTGTTCATAGTAAACACTTAAAATCATACAAATATGTTTTGGTAATTTTATTTTCATTTAGACTCAAAAGGATTAGAGCAGTGTGATACCTTCCATTGGGTGCCTTTGAGAGCAAAAGGTACACTAAAAAAAAATCCTAAAAATAGGATCAAGAGGAAGTATTTTAATTTGTAACTGAAAGCAAGTGCCTGCCTCACTATGTTTTCTAATCCCTGTTTAATCAATCCTAGCAATTAAAAATAATGAAGCAATAAGATACTCCTGAGATCTTTAGAATTTCAATATGGAATCACAGATCGGTTTCCTCCCCACAGTTTTATGGCTTGTACTAGAACCAGCCATTAGTGAATCAAGAATTGTTTATGCTGTGTGTAACATTTTCCCATGTGTTACTGAAAAGTGAAAGAGGTTTCTATGCCATTTACTTAAAAATATTTAAGAAGCAACCAGCTTTGAGATTTTATCATTCTTGACTTCTCACTTACTTAAAAGTTCAATAACAATACTAATAGTTAACACTATGTTCTAGCTTTACAATAAGCATTTTGTAATGGTTAATGATAGGGTCAGAATTGGGTGAGTCAGGCATAAAAGTAGGGGGCTAGGTGAAGAGGATGTTAAAGAGGTATGATGAGACATGAAAGGACAGAAAACTCATGTGAGCCAGTTGAAAGTGGAGAGCAAACAATGGGCTGAGATCACCTACCCAGTCAAAGCCAAGGAAGCAATAACATTAGACGGAAGTGCCTCATACTCCTGATACGCATAGTAGAGGCTTTCCCTGGAAGCAGCTTGATTAGTCTTTCACACACCTGAGTGACATCAGTAACAATAGACCAGAGCTGCCTTTTGAACTCTCTCCAACATCTCCCCCTCCTCCATGACTCACACTCAAGCCTAGAAAAACATCAAAATGTGGGAGCCAAGCAGCTATATTAAGCCACTCCACACGACAAGAGGTCTTTCTCTACCTCTCGACTTCTGAAGAAATGATCCGCCCCACTCTCTGGATATCGCGTTTCTAATAAAACTGCCTTTGCTTCACCTTCACTGCTGTCTCCTCACCTTTCCTCTCAGCCATGTGCTCTAACAAAGGCTCAGCCCACACTGGGATTATTTTTGAGCAGGACATACAGAAACAGGTCAAATTTTAACTTTCCCGTAGAGTCCTACACATACAATGTGGCTGGTAAGTTGCCTACATATTACTTATAATGTAAACCTCTTGAGAGCAGGGAACATGTTTTATTCACCTTTAAGGGAACAAACTAAACTAGTCCTGCCTCTGTTTCTCTGCAGAAGGGTAGGTGTCTATGTTATTGTAAATATTTCTAGTAAACCAGTGCATTTAAACCTGCTAGGTGAATCATGACTCTATTTTAAAATAAACTTCTACAGCTGAGTCATTAAGTGTATTCTCCCAGCTGCTTCTCTAAATTTAAAATGATCCCTCACTCACTTGGTCATTAATATGGTCACGTCACATAAACTACCAAGTCCTAGACAGTGCTAAGAACTAGGACTAAAAAAGTAGAAGACAATCTCTAATTTGCAGCAGCTCTACTGTGAATCAAGTTGTCAAGTTACTTCAGTCACTGACTAAAACTTTATCCTTTAAAGAAATTCCAATCTTTTGAAAGAACAAATGAGCAAAAATAGTTCTTTTGAGCAATTATATAAAATCAGATAGCAGCAACCTGATTCTGAGGAAGAAGAATAGAGTTCTGTTCCTGAATTCCAATTCCACCAATCAGCATATTATCATTTATTACAAAGCAAGAATATGAATATATGTCATCTTTTAATGAAAATCTAAGGATAATATCAGTTGTAGAAATTAGTTTCAATGATCTTTTTCAGAGCACACAGAAGGCTTTTTTATTACTTGCTAGCACACACAAAAGCAACATTTGGAAATTATTATTGCAATTTTAGGAAATGTCAAAAAAGGGCTAAATTCATTTTTCTTAGGAAGACCTCTTCTTCCCAAGGGGAAGGATCTATGAGGCAGGAGGAAAGTAAATTCATTAATTGTAGATTTTGCTAAAGAAACACTTGCTTTAGATACTGGCCTTTACTGATGTTTCAGGAAGATAATGAGGATTTCTCAACTTGGTGGTAATATAGAAGCGAAATTCAGGTGCATATTCAATGATAGCGTCTCCAAGTCGAATGCATACACTCCCACCTTGCTTAAAGGTCTGTTTTAGTAGAAGAGGTTCCAGAAGAGGGTCTAGCTCTTCTCCAATATTTTCCAGCAACACTGGAGTAAAATCAGAAAAAAAATTCCATGTTATTGTAAATACTGACAGCATTCTTTCAATCTTCTAGAATCACTGTTCTTGTCTACATCATTTTTTTTTGTCTTCTAAACATAAGGAAATAGACCCTAGGCAGTGCAAATAATAAACACATTTGTCTGTTAACCAAAAGCTTGGAAGTTCAGATTTACTCAGTAGCATCTCTTAAGAAAAGCCTGCTGATCTACTAACCAAAATCCAACCCCATTTGAAACCCAGTGGAGCACGGCTTCCCACACTTAAAGGTCATGATGAAGCCCAGACTGAAGAACAATAATTTCTTACATTTTTAGGATGTTCTGTAATAAGATTTATATTTTTAAAGAAGAAAGTAGCCATTTAAAAGACCTACAAAGAGAATGAGGTTTCTCTGGTGACTGAAAGGATAGACCCTCAGTTCAAGCATACACAGTGAATCTATTGCCATAATTTCATAAAAGTAATTCAATATCCATGAGAAGGAAATTACGGCCTTACACTTACCAGTTATACCAATTGCTTTCAAATCTACTGGGCTTCAGTGGTGGTTGTTGTTGTTATGTACCACCAAGTCACCAGTGACTCAGATCAACCCTATGTACAAAAGCCCTGTCCTGAGCCAGTCTCACTGACTCTGACCCACCTATCCCCCCTTACCCTAGATATCGTATCAATCTATCTTATTTGGAGCCTTCCTCTCCTGCGCTGTCCCTCCACCCTTCTGAGCAGGATGTCCTTCTCCAAGGACCAATCCCTCCTGGACCTATGCCCAAAGCATATGAGACAGAGCTTCAAAATCCTAGCCCCTAGAAACTCGGTTTATCCCTCTCCAAGAGACCAATGTTTTCTTGGTGGTCCATAGTACTTTCAAGACTCTTCTCCAGCGGCACCACAACTCAAAGACACCAATTCTTCTGTCATTCTTAGTCATTGTTCAGCTCTCTGATGCATAGCCAGTGATTTTGAGGACCATAACCTGGATCAGGCACATCTTAGTCTCACTTAGACTAACATCATTGCTCCTCAGCACTCTGGAGAGGTCCCTGAAAGCAGACTTCCCCAGTGCAATTCCTCTCTTGATTTCTTTACTCCTTTTATCTTCTTTTAATGTATCCTGGATCATTTACTATTCCACTCATAGCCTCCTTAAATACTACAACTCAAGGCTTGTTTGCATAGCTGTGTAAATATTTTCTGTTGCTACTAAAACTCCTACTTCTAACAATTCTGACTCATAGTAAGCAGCAGGGCAGTGGAGAACTTTTTCACAGTGTTTCAAGGTTGTAATCTTTCACGACGTAGATTGCTGTATCTTTCTCCTACAAACAGCTGGGAGTTTAAACTGCAAACTTTTGGTTTAGCAGTCAAATGTTTGAATACTGTGCAAATGTTCTATTATCTATGGTTTGCCGGAAAGTTGAGTCCTGAGATAAGTTCAGCGGCTAAGGGTTATAGTCACAGGATTCCATCCATTTCAATCACATCAGTACACTTGGTATTTTTATGATTTGGGAGTTTCATTCTCTCCAAGATTCTTTGTCATAATTCCTTTCAAAGCAGTCAAAGGCAGCTTGGAAACTGGGTACCATCTAGCTCTGAAAGCGGTGGAGGTTCACGTACATGTGATTCATTAGTCCTTTGGACTGTTTGCAGACATTATTCATTTTCAGAATACGTTATTACAATATTCTAGAAAACGTATCCCTGAATCATATATTAGTGACACTGCAATGGCTCCTGATGGATTTGTCTAAATCAAGTCTTCACTCATAGGCAAACCTGAGTCATGGCAGTTGTAGGAGTTCACTGGGAGACTGTGCAATTATAATGAGGAAGGGGGGGTTCAGATATTGGGAGAACTAGTGCTTATACTTCTATGTCAATGACACTGGCCCTTTCCACAGGTTATTTCTGACTCAATGAATTCCTATAATTTTCTTCATTGCTGGATTTTCAGCTGAAACAAGCATGCCAATGATTTTTTAACTCATTTTCATTTTCTCCTTGGCTAACTTGATTGTTTTTAATGGCGGAATAATATGAGTGCATCATAATGTGTTTAATGTGTTAATCTTCTCTTTAGGTTGCTTCCATTTTCCCACTGTTATTAATAATGCTGCAGTGAACATCTTTTTGCATAAACATTAGTGCCCTTCTCTGATTACTTAATCAGGCTGGAGTTCTGGAAGGAAAATTAGAATTAATAGGTCAACAGTTATGAACATTTAAAAATCTATTTATACCACCAAATTACTTCCCCAAAATGCTATAAAGATTTCAGAATTGCAATAAGCCTCCATTTCCCTCCTCCCCCTTTTTGTTTTAAACCTAGAAAAATAGATACCTTTGAGCTGTAATGACGGAGGAGAGTACTAAATATACCTTGGACTGCAAAGAAAACAAATAAGTCTGTCCTAGAGAGGGTGGAACCAGGTTGCTCCTTGGAGGCTAGGATTTTGAAACTCTATTGCACATACTTTGAGAATGTTGTCAATGGGTCAGTTCTTAGAGAAGGACATCATGCTTGAAAGGATAGAAGGTCAGCACAAGAGGGGAAGACATTAAATGAGATGGACTGACACAGTGATTATGGTAATGGAGTCAGGTGTGTTGGAGATGGTTGGGATTGGCTCAAGATAGAGCAAGATGCAGAGCCACTGTCCTTAGGGTCAGTAAGTGTTGCAGTCAACTAGACGGCACATGACAATAAGAATAAACTTTCATATACCACCATATATATGCTTACAAATGTCAGGCACTAAATGGTGACGCATTTTTCAGTCATCCTTGTTGTTAGCTGCCATCAAGGACGACTCACAGTTGCCCTATGAACAAAATATGTGAACCTTTACCTATCCTGTGTCACCCTCGCAATCTCTGATAGCCTCAAGCCCATGGTTGCAGTCACAGTGTCAATTCACTTGGCTGAGGGCCTTCCTCTTCTTTGCTATCCCTCCACATTCCCAAGTATGACGCCCCTTAACAATGAAAAGAGTTTCCTAGAAACATGTCCAAACTACATAAGATGATGCTTCTCCATCCTTGCCTCCAAGAAGCACTCTGGTTGTGCTTTCTCTAAGACATATCTTGTTTATTCTTTTGGCAGTCCATGGGTTATTCAGTGCTCTTCTCCAAAACCACAATTTAAAGGCATCAATTCTCTTAGCAAGTGATTGAAAAGGCCATTGCCTGAATAAAGCATACCTTAGTCCTCAAGCTACCATCATTGCTCCTCAATAATTAAGAGAGGTCTCTGACTCAGACTTTGACAGTGCAGTATGTCTCTTGATCTTCTGACTGCTAGTATCAAGTGTACTGATTGTGGATCCAAGTAAGATGAAGTCATTGACAGTTTCAAACTTTTCTTAGTCTATTATAATGTTGTCTATCAGTTCAGTGATGATAATTCTTTTTTCTTGACATTGCTATACAATCAAGTCTTTGATCCTACTCATTTTCAGCAATCAAGGTTGTGTCATCTGCATAATAAAAGTTACATGAATCTTTCTCCAACCCAATGCTTTTTCAATCCATTCTTCTTCATTGAGTCTAGCTTTTGTAAACCATCCTCAGAACTACCTTCTTTCCAATCATCCTTAGAACTTAAAAAACTATAGACTAGTATTTACTTAGATTTACAGTTGAGGAAACCTAGGCACATGCAATTCAAATAATATTCTCAGTTAATCCTGCAAGTAAATGAAAAATCAGAAACCTAGGAAGCTCTGGTGGCCTAGTAGCAAGAAGCTGCACTGCAATCCCAGAGGTATGCGGTTCAAATCCATTTGACGGTACACACATACACAAAATAATAAATTTTTTTAAAAAAGAAAGAAAAAGCAGAAACCTAAAACAAGCAGTTTGGCTTCTTACATTCCTCTTAACCACTATGGAATATAGGTAGCATTAAATGTAATCACAACTTTTATAATTTGGCAGGTGAAAAACAATGGTTTTACAAAGAAAATTTGTACTTTGAGACAGATACTTTATGAGCTACTTGACTAATTTGTTTTCCCCTTTTGAAACTGTGTTAACATACTTCTTCATTTTTCTATTTTAGGGGATGTTAAGTAGGTTGGCTCGGTTCTAAGTGACTAAACCCAGCCCCCTGACCAAATTACAGTGATGCAAAGGTGGGGGTGTTATCGCCAATATAAAGGGAGTCTAGTTAGAGGCTGTGATGAGTAAGCTTGGTGTTAGGGTGTGCCATCTAGACTCCGTATTAATACTCACGAAAATTATCTGTAAATGGACCTCATACATTTACCGTGATTTGCTGAACTTGTCCTTGGGCTAAACAATTTATAGTTTTGTAAGTATTTACACTTACTTTATCAAATAAGTAGTAAAAGTCTGATAGGTTATATGGACTTAAAATGTAAGTAATAACCATAATTTATTAAAATTCTAAAAATTATCTTTAGGTTTTTATCTTGACAAATGTCACATCTGAATAACAGCTTTATTTAAAATGCCCTTGTAAAAAAAAAATGCCCTTGTCATATTTCTAATTACTAAACTGTGAATGAATGCAGAGAATAGCCAGCCATACAGTATCTGCCTCTTGTGTAGGATCAGTTGAGAGAAGAATAAATAGATAATGTGGGCTGGTGTTGCATTAAAATACTTTTGACATATCAAATAATCCTTTTAATTGTAAAAGTGGAAGTAAAATTAAAACTAAAGAAAAGCAAATAATAGACAAAGTTAAAACAGCTAAATTAGAGGAAGCATTAAAAATCAAGTCTTTAAGAAGAGAAAATGTCCTAACCTGCTGGGACTATCATCTCTCATTTGAATAAGTATGAATAATGAAAGAGATAGAGAAACTCACTATAATATATCCAACTGTGTTTCCCAAAGAGATATATTTAATATTAACTTCCCATTAGAGACGCTATCATGACATAGATCATAGGGAGTTGCATTTACTAAGTCAAAAGGAACACTCTTCTGGAAGTTCAAACCCACCAGCAACGCTGTAGGCTAAAGATGGACAGTCTTCTCTTGGGCAATTTATAGTTCCTGAAAAACCACTGCAGGGTGAGTCATGAGTTGGTTCCAAATCCAAAGCATCAATTGAATGATCTTTCAGATATCTGTGAATGTGACCTTGTTTAGAAATATGACCTTTAAAGATGTTATTTGTAAATATGTGGGTCCTTATACAATCTGGTATGTCTCAGAAATACATCTTGGAAAAAGTACAGCCAGAGTACTCCTTGGAGGATGTTGAAGCTTTGTCTCATATTTGGACAGGTTGCTAGGATAGGCTATTCCTTGGAAAAGGACATTTTGCTTGAACTGGTGAAGAGTCAGCAAAAGAGAGGAAGATCATCAACGAAATGGATTGACACAATGACTGTATCAATCAGAGTGTCAAGGTGTCAGAGATGATAAGGGTGGCACAACAGCTGTTTGATACCTATCAACAACTACAATATAATCTGAATTCTACCTTTATTAAAAAGAAGAGAAGGGTACACAGAAAGAAGATGGTCAAATGATAACAGAGACAGAGATTGAATCACTAAAAAAGGCGGCCAATGATTATGTGGAACAACTCTACTTAAAAGACTCGGAAGGAATTGACAAAACTGGCAGCCTAGTTTCAGATTTCTAGCATTAAAAACTGTGAGACAATAAAGTTTTGTTCTTTGAAGTCAATCTATTGGTGACACTTTGATACAGCAACTCTGGGAAATTAATAAACTCAAGATTAAAAAGAAATCTGGTACTGATAATTTTAAAAAACAAATAACAACAACAGAACACATAATGTTTTAGGCTGTGATTTCTCTGGGCATTTCTGTAAAACAAGTATACTTGTCACTCAGCTACGTACCAGGAGTGCCAAACTGAATACAATTTTCCAACGTTCTTGCATAGTCTGAATCATTTAATTTAATTACATGAAGATTATTGGTTTTCTCCATGTTTTTGATCCATTTATTAGCCTGACCTTGTGGATCTATCATCAGAGGCCACCTTCTTGCATTCCTGAAATGCAAAATAAATATTATGCTAGTTAAGTTATGCTTTTTCTCTACAGTATTTAATCATGTATACCTCACTTTCTTACAGCTTAAACTTTCTAATATAGTATTTCATTTTAAATTTTTATAAAAAATTAAGTTGCTGAAGCAGAGGCCTTTTTTTTTTTTTTTTTTAGATTGAGCAGGTCACCAACCCATTATACTTTTGCAAATCTATCCAGGTCTTGTTTATTAAGTTATGATGGCAACCATCATGGACTGTAAACTCTAGTTCTACACCAACCCTTGCCATTAATTACTCATGTGGCCTTGGGCAACTTACTTCACTTCTTCAAGCCAACCTGCTATCACCTGTGGACTAAAGAAAGGATTGAAATATCCTACCTCTTTGACATAGAGAATAAAATATATGTAGGATAAATAACATAATTATGTATTTCCATTTTCATGATAGTCATGTACATTTAGATGTTAACACACTATTGACTGAAACTTTATTTCAAACACTTTTATATTTAAAGTGATGTTATGTAGTTCATTAAATATCTACTTAGTACAATTGTAATTTTCTCCTATTCTTTTGATGATCAGGGTTTTAGGACTAATAGAAAGCTCAAACATGCCCATTCTATTAAAACCAAAAAAGTGTCCCATGAGGAGCTCTTTCTTTTTCAGGAAGCTCACTTCACTTGGGGAGTGGAGTCATACAAGAATTAACTAGTGTTTCCCATCATCGTATGGATGCCAGTCAGTCATGAAGTTTTCTGCATGTGTGAAATGTAATCAGCATTAGGATTACACTTTTTCTTTTCTTTTTCTTAGAAGTATTGTGAATATAAGCCAGAACCCTGACCAGATTCCAAAAGTCAATCAGAGAACCAGACAGTACAAGGAAAAGTAGGAAACATAACTGGGGCAATGTATGTTTTTTAAAAGTGTGGGTGGAATGATATTCACTCACTTCTCACTTACTAACATGATTAGTTCCAAAAAACAGATTGCAATGTGAAAATTAACATTATAGAAAAATGGAAGATGACTACATCATATCACAAATTGAAGGCTGACTGTATCATATCATTACTTACCTGCCAAATTTCATCATTATATAAATGCCAAACTACTGAGAATTACAGCCAAGCTGACATATGACTTTAACCATCACAGCCAGAGTTATTCTTACTATACACCTCGGCATTCTTTATTGTTTAATATATATCTTTAATGCAAAAGATTCTCAGACAGTGGAATTTTTACAATTTTCATAATTTAGTCCAGAGAGGAGTAGATTCAATATAGTACATGCAATCTCATTCAAACATAAATTTTAACTATAATGGATAACTTGTGTCTTTTAAATACAAGGAAATAATTTTTTTCAGTCCATAAATTACAAAGCATACAAAACATATATCATCTATGATAAAAGAGATGACTTATCCTCCAATATTAGAATTATGTAATAATATATTTAAGAAAAGAGAGGCTATTAGTGAAATATCTTAGTTATAGCCAACTACTGAAAAGAAAATCACATACATGTAAAACTAAAGGGAATGAGAAAAACTGTTGTGGAGGAATAAAACTATAAATTTGAACAAGCTTTAATTCTACCATATTTTAGAAACATTTTTAAACTTAGATGATATTTATGTGTTTAAAAGCATTTCTGGTTTTCTAAAGAAATAGAATAATTCTTTTTTATTCCTGCTGTACATTTTAGCCAGTCAGTTAAGACTGCTTTCCTTTCTCTAAAATGCACTTCTTTTAAAGTTTTGTGCAAGACTCACATAATGTCAAGAAAGCAGTAGTTTTCCTCAGTCATCATGAAAAGTCAAAATAACCCTTCTGAAAAAGCAGACCCAATAAATACCCCAATGGAGAGAACGAGAAGAAATATATTGATGTGGAGCTATTTGAACATCTACAAAAGAAGATACAAAAGATAAAGGTACAAAATTAAAGTTCTATGTATACTTCAAAGTCAACTAAATGCAAAGCAATCCAAAAAGCTCTCATTCTCTTATTTCCTTAGCAATTAATCCATATCCTTGGCACTGTGACATATGATAATGGTATTGGCTACAGTGATTTAAAAATTTCTGAACTATGCCATCAACCAAATTGTATGTTCTTGGAAGAAAGGACTCATGTTAATTTTCCTTTCCCAAAGCAAATTAAAGTTTGCACGCAATCAACCATGACTATCCAAAAGATCAATACTTCATTCTCATAGAAAATACTGATTTAAAGAATGAACTAAAATCAGAACTAAAGACCTTCAAGTGCTGGCCAAGATGGTGTAAGACCATGAAACCCTGTGTATTCCACTTATTCCAATGAAAATCTGTAGACAAACTACACAAAGCTGACTATTCTAGTAACAAGTGACTGAGAGAAAGACAAACCTTAATCATTGAAAAGTAAAACAGTGGTGATACTTGTTTTGTTTTTCCTCTTCATCTTCTGACTTTGCCCTGAGCACAGGATGAATAAAGAACTGTGCAGCAGGCATAGGCAGCAGAGCCCCTGACCAGAGAGAACTGAGAAAAGGGGCATATGTGGGACAGAATATGGGGTAGGCATTTGTTTATATGTTTCTATTTTCCTGGTCTTAGTTCAAAGTCTGCTCCTCTCACATAATGGGACTGCCATTGGTGAACCCAGTAGTTCAGTCACATGAAATACATCTTCCTGGATAAAATAAC